GATTTTCAGTTCGGTCATTTAATGATTTAATTTAAAGATAGATTACCAGGCAACGAAACATATGTCCACAGCAGCCAAATCGTCCGTCGGTCGACAGGGGTTGTCGCATATTTTTTTTTTTTTAGGTAATTGGGGGCATTTATAAAATAATGTTATTCAGATCAGATTATAGTTTTGGTCGTTTGGGGATTCACAAGGTTCTGCAATCTGGAACAAGGGCCTTAACTCTGGAAGTAATGTACATAAATTGTTGAAATTCGATAGGGTTCTACATGCCACGAATTTTAATGATAAATATATATTTGATACAGATCAGATGATTACTTTTGTCATTAGAGCGAGAGAGAGAGAGAGAGAGAGAAATGGGGTTGAACGTCCACTCGACACAAACTAGGTCATTTCGGGACTAACATATGGTTCAATTTTATTTCAATAATTCGCTTGCGCATAGGGGTCTTTAGCAGTGGGAGGAAACCGGAGGACCCGGAGAAAACCCACGAGGTTGGACAGGCGACCCTACTCCTTGTCACGTACAACCGGGGATTCGAAACCACGCCAGTTGACTCAATGACAGACTTTATGATACAGCGCGCGCGCGCACGCTAACCATTCAGCCATCCAACCCCCCTGTCATTAGAGCGTTTACAAGGTGCAACAAAGTGAAACAAGAACGCTAAATCCAGACGAAATTAAAGGAAATTGCGGAAATTCAGTAGGATTCTTCGTTTCACTAATTTAAATGATGCATATAAATTTCATACAGATCAGATGATAACTTTCATCATTCGCGCGATTATAAGGTTCAACAAAGTGAAACAAGGGCCTTAACTGCTGAATTTCAATGGGATTCTATTCGTTTCACTAATTTAAATTATGAATATAAATTTCATACAGAAGTGAAACAAGGGCCATAGCACCAGAATAAATTAACGGTAATTATTGAAATTAAATAGGATTCTTCATCTAACTGATGTAAACAACATATTCTAATTTCGAAACTCTCAGATGATAAATGTAGTCTATAAAGAGTTCACAAGAAATTATGGACGACGGACGTACGGACGGACTGACCTACCTATCGACAAGGGGTGACGGCAATATACGACTACATTCCATGTGGGCGTATAAAAATGGAGAAGCAAGGCTAGGACTCGAATGACCATTACGGTGGTTACGAAAGATCAATGACACATCTTGTCAAATCTACAACCATTGATAATTTCGCTCAAAATAAAGTAATTTGAATATAATTTTTAGTATATTCAAACTGCATATCTATTTTTGAAATATTATTTGACGAGAACGGTCAGCCCTTTATCTAAACCTTACATAATGGACCTTTAATAAACGAAATTTCAAGGAGCAGGCAAGCCAAGTTTTATATTTGAATTAGCGGAGCCTTGGACCAAAACTGGTTAATAGTCTAATATTTAATCGACATTGAATGAAACAGATAATAAATTTGTTTGATTTATTGTGGTATTTCATTTTTTGTGGTCATAACAAATATCATATTTCCAAATAAAAAAGGATTCGGAGTGTCGAAAAGGTGATTAAAATATTCGAAGGTAACCATGTTTAAACCAAAATATTCAATCTTTATATAGGAAAATTGAAATTTAGAGGATCCAATAATGTAGACATTCCACACTGATTCGATATGGTTTTCACTTTAAATTACACGCTCCTTTCCTGATTAAGGATGATACTTTTAACCGTTTCTATCAAATAATGATAAATTACATTTCTTTGTGTCTGGAAAACATTGTTGCCACACTATTTGTCATGCTTCGGTGTCAAATTTGAAAAGATCAATGTATGACACCGTGTATTCAATTTTTTTCATTATGCATTATTTACTAAACGAATTATTTAACAGACAAAGAATACATTCAATGTTGCATTAAATTTGTGTCTATTGCATAAAACATAAACATTAATAAATTATGGTACCATTGATCCGATAGAACATTCACAAACTTTAAAGTAGATAAATAAAATTTGTTGCAGTAATAGTACGTGCCAGGAAACCGTGCCAAATAACTGACGTATTCGAGGCGTGTGCTGTGAGAGAAATTTTGGCCGAACAACTGCCAAGGGTTCTTTCACGTACACCCCAACGGTGTAGGTCAATCCGGGACAATAATGATATGGTTCCATTTTATTTTAATAAATCGCTTGCACTTAGGGCTCTTTAGCAGTAGAAGGAAACCGCAAGACCCGGAGAAGACCCACGAAGTTGAAGAGTAGTCCCTATTTAGTGTCACGTACAAGTTGCGAATCGAAACAAATCCAGACCTCCTGATCTAAAGCGCACGGCTTGGTACTTTCGTTCACCCAACCACCACATGCAGGGATCGAATCCGGGATCGTTTGGTTAGTAAATCAGCGCCTTATCCACTGAACCATCGTGGCTCCCATCAATAATAAAAAACAAAACGTGTTAACAAAATAGATGATAGAAGATACAGACATTTTATACTTAAAAAAAAGTACGTCATGGAGACCATAGAATTTTTTTTTTTAAATGTAGGTTTCCGTTTAGGTGCCTGCTAATGCGTGGCTGACAAAAAAAGTGTGCCTAGTCGATCCGAGGGGACGAACAAATCGAGGTACATTCTTGTACATATTCGCGTGCATGTAAAAGAAAGTTATTGGACAGTTGGAATACAAAAGAGCGTAGGACCAGAAACAAAACCTCTCCATCTTGCATTTTACACGTATATATGGAAATAAAAATCACCATATGTTTGTCTCCAGTGAATTAAGACAGTCAGGAATTCAGGGAAATGATATTGTATACATTTCAGCACCATGCTATTAAGTCGGTGCCGAGGGGTCATTACAAGAATAATGGCTTTAAAAATTAGATGTTTGCACTTCGAGGTATGCTATTATGTGCGAGATGATAGCAACACCTTTGAAGATTAAATGAACCCATTTGTTCGTATTATGAGATATCTCTTGATTAACGTACGCTGGTCTCCTGAAAATGTCCCCCGTGTCGGTCATAAAAATGTCCGTCGATAACTTAGTTACATCAATAAAGCGACTTGATTGATACAATTGTCTGAAGCAAAATGAGTTAGGTAATACATCGTTGGGGCAACTCTCTTAAACAAAACGACTGTGACGAATATGAACGTCCGCTTCGATTGGTACCTGGTGCCAATTGGCTGATATAAATTGTTGTATACAGAACAAGTAAACTGGATTTATTGTCTTTAAATCTATTATTGCGTGTGAAAGTTATTTTCTAAATATGGATGCACTTTATTAAAGAAATATCAATTGTTATTCTAATGCATTGTTCTTACATCATCATGCTTCTTTTTAAATCATTGTTTTTAGTTTTTTTTTCTATGAATACCGATATAACTATTATGTAATTTAAATTCTCGTCTTCAATAGCCCGGTTGGTGCAGAAAATAATGACGTAAAACCCCATTCCAATTATTCATACAATATAAATAATGCTAATGGGGAACAACAACATCCGATGTTTTAAATTAAATGTTCTGATGGGTGAAACATTAATCGAACAAATTTCATGAAAATATTACCTTTAACGTGTGTGTGTAACGCCGAATGTTATTCCAAGCTTAAAAGAAGACTTTGTTAAATTCAATATTTCCCAGGAATTTATAACATGACATTCACCATAAATGCCAAAGTCATCAAAAGGAATTTAGATTTAAATCTTTCGACTGTATTGTGGTAAAACCAAACGATTTTAGATAAAAAAAAAAAGCCCCAATCGGCCTTAACTCGTGGTAATACAAAACATGGCCACCATTAGTAGATAATTATAAAATTTATTAAAATCTGGAACGATATCTGTTCATTTGTTTCAGTCGGTTCTTATTTAGTTAAAATTTCTTTTAATCCCCGATTCGACTTATTTTACTGCCTGTAGCCTCTTTAAAGGGAAGCGTGATTTGAAACAGATGCGTTAATTCTGAGAGCTTTAACACATGTATATATTTGATTCTATCGGAAAGACAATTCTTTTTCAATAGTTACTTACATTTATCAAGATTTCCCTCAATTACAATGACAAATGGCAAAAGTAACAAGATCCCAAGAAAAGCCATTTTTATAACACAGACATGTGGATTCAGTCACTTAACACTGCATGAAAAATTAGATTTAAAAAGAATTTAAATTCCATTTTGTCAAATAAAAAACGAAATAGAACTTAGTTCCGTCTATTTAACAAAAAAAACCCACCAAAACTTGAACTCGATGACCTACTCTTGCGAAATGAAACAATGATTACATAATAGCATCACACCTGCTTTACTTGGCATTGGTAACACGATATAAATAATTAATTATTTGATGAAGTGGCCAGATAAATCTGATGAAATTCCTAAATACCTATAATGTGCTTAATTCATTTTTGATGAGAAATTGCAAGAATTCCTTATTCTGAGGGGGGCAACACATTTTGAGCGAAGGATAATTCTATCAGTACATTATGAACATGAAATATGGAATTAGGGGTTAAAATAGTACAAAGCTGATCTTTGGGAATTCTTAAATTGAATGACGTATAGCTGTAAGTCAAAATACATGTGAAACAAAACAAGTCATTGGAAATTCTTACATTGTAAATTCTTTTGTTAAATGGTAAAGAAGTTAAAAAGTACAGTATTGGTCATAAGGATTTCTTAAATGGACTGTTTTGTTGGAAGTCAAAATACACGTGGCACAAACCAGCTCATTGGGAATTCTTATACATTGTAAATTCTTTAGTTAAATGGTAAAGAACTAAAAAAATACAGCATTGGTCATAAGGATTTCTTAAATCGTCTGTTTTGTTGGTAGTCGAAATACATTTAGTTCATATAGTTATTATAAATCCTTAAATAGTACAGCATTGGTCATAAAGAATTCTTAAATTGTCTGTTTTGTTTCCAGAAAAAAATACACTGAGTTCATCATATGGTCATTAGGAATCCTTAAATAGTAAATTCTTATGTTAAATATTGACTTACCATAAAGTTAAAATCTGTTGAAACTTACAGTCTTTTGTTGTCCTGTTTACACTAACATCTAATTGTTGTGAGATATGCTCCATTGTTGGCAACGACCAGTTATAAATCTATTATGAAATAGTATTGGTTGTTACTGGAACCAATTGCAATACAGAGCACCATCAAAAAAATAGCATAATCATAAAGAGCAAGGTCACTGATTGATCTATGTATATATGGGCGCACGGAACTTATATTCTCTCTTGTATTCGAATAAAAATCCTCTCTTTTAGTTCTTCCATTTAAGTAATTATCTTGTTTCAATTCCTGCAACTATTTTAATTGTCTGGCTGTGTGTTCCTTTTTGTTTACGTCAATGAAGAAAATATAACCAAACAGCACGAACGAAAACAGATTTGTAACGTATTATTTGACCCGAATTACTTGTAAAATATTTTCTCAGGGAAATATAATATCGGCTTTGTTATGGCAGCATCGCTACCTTCGAGAACTAACTTTGTTGTGAAATTGTAACGTAATATTTCTTTCTTTATTCTCAGAATGATGAATCTACGTCAAACTTTTTTCTAGGAACCAACTTGTCCTCTTTTTACCCGAGTTATTCACAATCTTGTAATACTGAGTTTGGTTGGCAACGCTTATGGCGATCATACATAATAATCTGATCAAAATAAATAACATTCGACGGTGTTGTTCCAAATAATCAACTGTTGCAACTGGATAACACGGGTGTGTCTTGTCATTCATACGTCTTGTACAGAGCTAGTACTAAAATCCCAAATATTCATGAAATGTTCCGTGAGATCTTTAACTAAGAATCGCTTAGTCAAAAATGAGAAACTCGTATAATAAACTCGTGTCCAGGTATTTAACAAAAAGCTAACGAAAGCCCAATCTCTCAAATTGGACTAAACTGCTATGTTTCCAATACATGCTAATATTCACAAATTAACGTAATATGCCTCTTAGTAACTAAAAGTTTTTCGAACTTCACACACAGATATGAAGATGTAAGCTATACTCGTCGCATAGTTCCGATTCTAGCTATTTAGTTTCTATTGCATATCGTAAAGCAACTGCCATGCATCCAGGACAAGCTGCCCACTGTTTGATAAGATGAGTGTGGATTTCTGTATACTATTTAATGTTGTTGTCGCTATCCCCGTGTTTGTATTCCAGTGTTATTAATCAGGTAGTTGCGTGCTATACGACATCGTCCGAATCAAACATCACCATGGCCAACCTGAAATGAAAGTTAAGCGAGTGGTTAGCTATCAGCTAGAGTAGTGTGTACAACAAGCATGTATACATATAACACACGGCGATCAATATAAGGAAGCTGGCTTTTACTATGGGACTATGAGGCGAACATGTCTCTACAGCAGATATTGAAGGAGTTTTGTGTACAGTGTACAGCTAACTGCATAGCTTTTAATTAACCGATCCGACGGTGATATAATAGATGACGAAAACCTAAAATGTAATGAGCGTATCGAAAACACCCATCCATCCATCATTTTGCATTTTTAAAAATACAACTGCACGCATGTCTTCACAGGAGCGACATATCAATGTGTCTTGATTACGTTCTGAGAGAATATGATCTACTCAAGTCATATTGTGGGATATAAAATACTTATTTTCTGATGGATCTCTAGACATATTTCATTCATATTCATTAATATTAAACCCCTTTGGTGCATAAAGGCAATAGGTGAGTACGCATTCGCTATTTGACCATTTTATCACGACATGTTTCTCAGACAAAACAATCGCAAATGACATTTTAAATGAATGAATGAATGGTATGGGGTTTAACGTCCTACTTTTCTGTTCCAACCGGAATAATTAAAAATCAAAAAGGGGAATATTTCCCAAACGTTGTATACTACTAGTATGAGTCATGATCGGTCGTGTGGTACACGCTACATAAAATATAAAATATAAAGGCAAAAAGCAAGCAAGTAACCAATTTCGTGAAATGTAGCTAAAAGGCAGGTGAAACTAATTGGCCTAAGTGCACACGGGATCCATGTCCGGCCCTCCGTCTTGTACCACTGAAACAAAGGAAAACATGCTTGACAATCCAGAGGAACTTACTCGACCAACACTGGCCTAAGTCTAGATGTTTAAGCTATTACATATCGAATATTACAAATTGTGTTTATTTTGAAAGGGCTTTAACATCATAAAGAACTTGACATGTCCGTGTTGAATTCATTTTAAATTTGGAAACATATGTCATAAAAATAAACCAATGCCGACATTATGCTGCTTATATGATTCAACGACGTTTTAAGTTCATTGCAAATTTTCTGCCAAAATTATTTAAGTGCTATTCTGCCCAATGCAGATTTATTTGACCTCAAATGTTATATAAATAATTAATTAGATATAATTAACTCTATAGAACTTAGGGTGGCTTTGATTTTATACAGATTTAAATACGATTGGCAGTTAATGATTTAATTTAACAACAGCAATGATGACCGAGACTACATCATTGTTCTGCAAAAGACGATAACCCGGTCAGAATGAAGTAATTTGACTGACAATTTCCCTGTTTATTATCAAATTTAACACTATTATATCGAGAACTGCCAGCTCTTTTATCCAAATCTTACATAATACATATTTAAATTGCAAGCAGGTCAACTTAACACGCCAATGTTTTCGCAATACATGCCAGTCATTTTATATATAGACATTTATATGGCCACAATGTACTACTCGAGCCACTATATATGTATTTTTTCTATAAAAGCACTTGAGTGACGACAAGCACATATTGTCAATAGAAGGTGACCCTATCGAGTGTGTAATTTATAACGTCAAAATTAACTGGCAGTGCGGACGATTTGGTAGGCTACCTAATTAGAATAAGGAATATTCTTGCACGGAGGGGGGTGTTATTCGGTGCCGGATTAAGACGAAGAAAGCCCTAGGCTTATCCTAATCCTCCACCATAATGACTAAAGGAAAGTATGTTTAAAGGAGACAAGTCTTTAACTCAGTATCATCCACAGTCTTCAACATTGCAAACACGACTTGGTCAGTTCAAATCAACATTGATGTTGTTATCTTACCTTGAAAAGATGGGCGTCTGATATCCAATATTTAAGACAAAATGAACATTTTAAAATTGGCACACGAATCGCGTGCCAGAATGCTTTTGAGTGCCATTTGTAATGAAGCGACTCGATCAAAGAGGCTAAACATACCTCACAGAATATTACCGGTGTAGAATGGAATAACCAGACGCCAAAGACTGTCATTCAATTGGACTCTTCGCGTATTTCACCGAACATAACTGATTTGAAATTACAGTAAAAACAGAAACGATTGAATGTAAATCAGTTTATATACATTCATATTACATTATCATATGCGTTGTGGCTCATTTGTGTCCATTTCTATGTGTCAAAGAATAGGGATTTAGCTCTTTTAGACAAAACTGGGCGAAACTAGGGATGGTGACCGGTGTTTAAAGGCTCAATACCACTCTTGTTGTAACTGAATAATATGTCCCAATCTTTATTCTGGTCAACAAATTGTACTATTTTAGAATATTTCAATTAATTGATGATACAAATTTCATCTTAACACACCTTATTTAAAATTTTTGAAAAATTCAACATAATGGTTTGAAACATCTAACGTAAACCTTTTCAAATGAAACTTCAATTTAAAAATATTTTCGAACCCTCAGAACAAGTAAAATTGGATGTAATGGATAATTTACACAACAGGTAGGACACTTAAACATCTAGTACTTAGATAGAGATATTATTTGTTTTCTGGAGCTTTCAAGCCAGCAAGAGTGTTATTGTCCCTTTAAGACTACAATGTAGGTAAGGCTCGTAACAGTTTCGGAAAATGAGGCCCAAACCTTCAGCCTGCCAAGCCTATAGGTAAACCTGACGCTGATTGTGTTCCAATTTGATTCCTGTGAATTAAAATAAATATTTATATATCATGATTATTCACAATCGACCCATTATGGTCACAAGCAAATATCTGTGATACAATTTTTGAGAAATACCAACAGCCAGTTGTCAGGGTGGAGTTGGACACGACACAAACTTCTTCACTAGCAATCATCGTGCGCCTGGACAAACCACTCTATAAATTAAACGCGCGCAGTGACAACGTTCTGACTTTTATTTTTTTCAAGCGAGTAAATGGATTATTGCTGCGATTTAATTACACCTCGGTAAAGTTTACAAGTGTGTCGCATAGTCGCGTTAATCACTTCACTCACTGAAAACGTGAAGGTGAAAACTCAACAAAGTTTTTTTTTTTAACAAACTCATTTGCAAACTGCTCAGAATTATTATTTGGAGCTGAAACTATCAGATAAGGTAAATAACCTATAAAATTTGCTTCCAAAACGCACTTTATCCCCGGAGTCCTAGTTTCCACGGGGACTTCTCCTTTTACCTCATGTAAAAGATCAGATTTCAAAAAAATATCCAGGTACATAAAGCTAATTATATTGTTATAGACCCTGTGTCTCAACCAAGAAGTGGACCCTTCGAAATATAATATGCATATATTCCACGAGGTGTTTTCTGGTGCATGTATTTGCCCCCCCCCCCCCCTACACACACACCGCCACAAATATGTCAAATTTTGTGTATGTTATGCCATAGATGCATTTTCCAAAACATTTAATGGTTCTTGTAAGGAAGATAAGGTAAGAGCTTTAAAATAAATTCTTTACAATATGTCCACATTATTATGCCACTTATAGTTTGGATATCTAAACTGGAGTTTAAAAGCCCACTTTAGCTATTTTAGACGCAAAAACTATTTTAATCGCATTGAAAGTAATTTTAAAGATTTTAATACCACGATGCAACATTACATTTCAATTTACTACAAAGATGGCGGACAATTTCGATCTTGATGGAAAGAAAAGAAGAGTTACGACCGTAAGAAGAATCACAGTAAGTGACAGACTACATAAACTCGTTGAACCAAAGATGTTATTAACCACGAAATCAAGAATAGAGCTCAACGTGTAAAATAGAGTAGTCTGACGAACAATAAAACCTGGTAATAGCCCCCTCTGGATTTCTGGCAATAAAAACGGTTCCAGTCAAATACATGTTCACCTGCAGATAAAAACCAGGATATTTGGTAATAAATCTGATTTTCATTGTTCCCACAACATGAGTAATATCGTTGGCTCTTAGAATTTAATATATTAATATATGTCCACTGCGGGGTTCTTCGCTTGTTTCGTGGTTTATTGCGCACATTAAGGTCATATATTCATGTAGACTGGTAGGAAATTCTCAAATGTTTTATTAAAGTGGAAATTTATGTTAGATATACTAATATAAATCATTATGCACTTCACGTAAAAAAACCCAATATATACAATTTTGTAGGTATTATACCAAGGGCCAGGCTAAGTGAAGGTGACACAATGGGTCATGGATTTGAGTATTTGTGCCCCCTTGGGTCATGGGTTTGAATACTTGTACCCCCTTGAGTTTTTGTGTCCCCTCTTGTTTTAAATGGATAAAAGTACGTTGTTTCTTTCAATTCTATTATCAAAACAATAATGCTCATGGACCAGTGTAAATCGTATACCGGGCTCAGAAATGATACAAATCTTGTCTAGCACACGAATTCAGATGCCTGACACCTCAAGTATTCAACGCGTATTGAACACTATGGTAAGGTTTTCGTCGTTTACTCGCGTCACTCGAGTCGACTCCATTGCCGAGTTTACCCGGGTGAAACATCCCGAACGGTCCGATAGTCCGAGTAGTCACATGACATCAAAACAGTTACGACGTCAGTATGTGATCGAGAGACAGGCTTTTTGCGTATAGGACGCCATTTTGTCACGTGACAAACCCTTTGGCGCATGCGCTGATTTTTACGGTGTCGTGTAAAACCTCATTCTACACCTTTAACTTAGAGCTGATCGATTTGAAATAATTTTTGGACCAAACTGTACCTTGATTGTGTTAATGTACGACGTATTGGCCCTAACCCTCTCCCGGTTGGCTTCTACAAGCATCTTTTCAAATCTCATTGTCGAACAAGTCGGTCCACCGATTGTGTATGTTGTTTCACATTTATTCTGGAATGTCGATTCTTTAATCGATTGGTTTATATATTTTTTTTAGATTTACAGTTACAGAAAACTGTTGCGGAAAATTGAGAAATTGGTAAAACGTCATTAATTTAACTAAAAGTAAAGACTTCACTATGATCGCCCAAACT